ATGGAAACACCCTTTTCTATAGGAGATAGACAAAAACTAATATCGGTGTCTGGCGCTCAATTTTTGTCAAAAACATGATGGTGAAAACCGCATATCGATATCTGTTACCGTTTCGGAGTTACGGGGTGTTTTTCAAAAATATGCATTTTTAACAAATCGCTGTAACTTTTTTGCTATGGAAAATTTTGTATTTTTATGAAAACATTCCCAAAGCACCTTTTTACGTAGAATTTAATGGTTTAAGTATAATTTTTTTAAAATTAATAATTTTAGAATTATCAATAAAACATTTGATTTTTTATATGGGACACCCTGTATATTTTTAATTTATTGAAAAGAATTTAAAATTACCTTTCCAAAAATATAACACACTTGATATTTTGCTCTATTCCTCTTCGAGATATAGAGTATATAAAAATTCACCCGCTTTAAATAAGTAGGCTTTGAACGGCTCCGGCTGTAATGCAAAAAAATTCTAGCTGTGAGCTCAATTAAAACGAAAATAATATTTGCTATGAGAGATGCAGAATTTCATAACAATTTAAAATATATTTAACAAACATCAACACATTTAAACTATATCTAATAACAATAAAAATAAATAGCAAACCAACACATAAGATTTTGCTACAGGTGTTCGACATATCGACCGTCTTCTGTTATGGACAGATGGGGCAGTTTTTGAACATTTAACGCGGAATTCATTAACTCAGTGGGGGTGAAAGATACCCTCTCATAACTGCTAAGTATTTCTAATTCTTGTCTAGATTATACGCAAGAATAAGGAACCTTATTGGTCCGCAAATATATCCATAGGATTAGATCCATCGGCACTAAGTCAGGCGGTCTCGACGGCCAACGGCTGGGATCTTTGTTAGGTATTCAATTATTCTTAAAATTGGCTGCAAAAATTTGCTGATAACTTCAGCGTTCAGAGGTGGTACGTCGTCTTGGTGGAAAAATATGTTTTCGAGTTCCATTAAGGGCATATCATCAATAAGGGGTCAAAAGCCTACTAGTTAAAAGTGGCGAACTGTTAAAAATTCTATATTTCGACGGAGATTATAACAAAATATCAAGTATGCTATATTTTTGGAAAGGTAATTTTAAATTATTTTCAATTAATTAAAAATATAGAGGGTGTCCCAAATAAAAGATCATTTTTTCTGTTGATAACTCTTAAATTATTAATTTAAAAAAAATTATACTTAGACCATTAAATTCTACGTAAAAAGGTGCTTTGGAAATGTTTTCATAGAAATACAAAATTTTCCATAGCAAAAAAGTTACAGCGATTTGTTAAAAATGCACATTTTTAAAAAACGTAACTCCGTAACTCCGAAACGGTAACAGATATTGATTTGCGGTTTTCACCATAATGTTTTTCATGAAAGTTGAGCTCCAGACACCGATATTAGTTTTCGTCTATCTCCTACAGAAAAGGGTGTTTCCATTTAAAAGCGTCGAATTTAACCCACCCTGAACATTTTTTACCTAAAGGGACACCCATCAAAAAATGCCCATATCGTATTTTTAATCATAATTCCATTTTTTTCTAATGGAACTAAGCCACATTCGGAAGGGAAATATCCAGTATACACTACAACCAAAAATTAAGAGAAGAATAAAATTGTATGGAGAAAACATCGGAATGGGTAGAAAACTAGAAGCATACACTTTACTACTGAAAATAGCAAATAATTTTTTTCTTGTGGAGGAACTCACGAGCCGCCATTGGGAAGATGTACAATAAAAATTAGACAGCGGCACCTACTTGTGAGGCGTAAAAATACCAATGAGGCGTCCTGATAAGACAAGAAAACGGCCAGCACAAAATAGCATCAAACAGCACAATATCGAAACAAATAGAAACCAATAAAAGAATCATAGTAATGATGACGGAGTATTAGATTTAATATCAGCTAAACTATCAAATTAAATAGCTACCCTGACTGAGTAGAAAATTTAAATCTATTCAGAATCTAATTCATTCCTAAATAAATTATTCTTCTGAAAATGTCGCCACAATATTAAAAAAAAATTCTCCTATTAACAAAAGTATTGATATAATTTCTCATATCATAGAATAAAGTTTTATGATGAACCATTCTTTAAGCGATGACAAAATTATTATGGGAAATTGTATTAAAGTTATTTTAACTTTAAAATATCCAATGATTTGATCATAAAAGAAGGTCATCCCAATAATATTCTTTGATCGTTCTGTATACACAATATTCTGTATACACAAGTATATACACATTCTGTACAAGCACTGTATGTCAAAATTATTAATATAAATGTAAACAAAATAATATGTGTTTTTTTGAAAAAGGAAAACCTTTAATCTACATATATAAAATTCTAATGTTTATCCGTGTCGTCTCTACAGAAGTAACGACTTGCTCTAGAAAGTTGCTTTTTTTACTAAAAGATAGCTAATTGGCTCTTATAAAAACTGTCGTTGCCGGATTTTTTGTTTTTCGTTTAATTAAAAAAGAAATAAAAAGTATTTTTTCCCTAATGTCGTGGCGGATGCGCCAGGCTTCAACTAGTTTTTAATAAATTATAAGGTCTGTAATAAATAAATAAAAATACTTTCGCCAAATTGTCAAAAATGTATAGCAAGTACTTTTAAAGTTGTTTTAAGTAAAATTACGCTACGCTCTATTTCTACAAAAAATATAACGGCTGAAACATTCATAAACAAATACAGAAAAAGCTGTGAACAATTTTACGTACATTTTGGTTCAGTTAATAAATTCCTTGTATACACATTTATTGTTCAAATTTATTTTGTCCTGAGTCATAGTAACCTTAATTCTTATTGGTGATAGTAAAAATATAAAATGGTGATAGTAATATCAAGATGCGCACGTTAATAATAATAATATCTGCTAATTAATAAATACCGTTTAATCGAAAAAAAAGGCGTCAGTTGGCTTGGAAATGACAATCGATGACATTCCCCCATATAATTATTGTACATACAAAATGACAGCGATCTTTATTTCATAGCCATCGCTGACGTCGTTTTTTTCGATCATATTATAGTTGAGTTGTAAGTCTTCTAATTATTAATTAAACAAATTAAAGTGATCCTCCATTGTAACTACATACTGGTCTGGAGTATGTCATAAGTGCGACAGTTCCATAAAGAGTGTCGGCTCCTTTGAAGTATGTATGCTAAAAAACATCTGAAAAAATTGTGCTTGATGCGCTGTAATTATTGTAAATGAAATTACTAATGCCAAGGATGGCATGGATTAATTAATATAATTTTATATTAATTAATTAAAATATATTATTTTATATAAATAATATTTAAACTTCTCCCACCCTTTTTACATCTTGATGTAAAATGTAAGTAAAAAATGACGAAAATTACATTTATCTTCCTTGCCAACCTATATTTTCAATTATTATGGCATGCAGCTACTGATCTGATAAAGTATCTTTATCATTATACATCGTGCGTAAATTGCATTTCACCTCTCCTTACCAAAAAAAATATATACAGGGTGTCTCAGATTTTAATCGGGAAAATTTAATAGACGATAGAACTTGCAAAAATAAAACAAAAAGTTCATATCAACTTGTAAGATTTAAAGCTTCCTTTTCGAGATACATTTAATAACTTAAAAAAGAAAAAAAAATTAAGATATTTGAAAAACTATTTAATCGATTTTGATATCTTGACCCGTTTATAATACTTACTATGGGACTTAATTTGATGTAATTCGATTTAAGTTTAATGGCCAGAGGCGGCGGTGGGGCATCACTGTTAAATTATTTTAAAGGAAAAAATAGGCACGCCACTGCTTTTTTAGAAGTTTAATATTATTTTTGGATTTAGTAATTAAAAATATAATGCTGGATATTAATGGTTATCAATTCGAATAATTATTATTGTAATCGTTGTAACTAGCCATTATTATTTAATTTATTGTCCAGGGTGGAGTGAATAAATGAATTTATTTTTTTTTCGCAAGAAGTAAGCACGATAGACGAAAAAGTCAGGAGACAAAAAAATAATATTTTAAATTACTAAATCCATAAATAATATTAAACTTCTAAAAAAGCAGTGGCGTGCCTATTTTTTCCTTTAAAATAATTTAACAGTGATGCCCCACCGCCACCCCTGGCAAATTAACTTAAATCTAATTACATCAAATTAAGTCCCATAGTATTATAAATGGGTCAAATTATATCAAAATCGATTAAATAGTTTTTGAAATATCTTATTTTGTTTAAGTAACTTTAACAACCTGTATCTCAAAAAGGAAGCTTTAAATCTTACAAGTTGATATGAACTTTTTGTTTTATTTTTGCAAGTTCTATCGTATATTAAATTTTCCCGATTAAAATCTGAGACACCTAGTATATATATACAACATAATATGACTTGGGGAAAAACTTGATAAGAACCAATTTCTTAATTTTAGTATTTATTACAATATTAGAGTAGGTCTAAATGGTCCCTACAAAATGTATAAACTCTGCAGGGCAAAAAGTTGTTAAATCCTATGATATATGCCTAATCAAAATATAGAATACATGGCAAGAATCTGATAACTACCAGATGTCCAGTGCTCTCCTGTAAAATCAGTGAATCATGTTTTTCCCCTGGACCCTTCAAATATAAACCCACTTAAAATTTGGTACATAACAAATCATTTATGTCACCTCTGTATACAGTTTGTCCATGAAGATGCCTGACAGTGACAGTTGTGTCTGCCATTTTATTTATCAAGCAAATTAAATTTTATGTCATTTTTTCGATGTCGCCTCTCAAAATATTCCCTAAGTTCTTGAACAGACTATATTTCAGTATTAGTCTGGTAATACTATCCCCCGACCTGTCTTGTCTAGACTAATTTTTCAATTGTTAATTTTATGTAGATGTACATAAAATTAACCACAGAAGAATTAGTACAACTTCACAGAAAATCTAGTGAAAAGAAATGCCCAAATCTTGCAAAATGCAAAAACCAACTAACCGACTGAATATAATCTTCAACTTTTGTCTGCAAACCGAATACTTCAAAATATGCATTGACTAATTTATAGCTACACATGATTGGCTGGTAATTGGTTCTCCATCCATCAACCAGAGGTCCCCTGTTAGTTTTTGTAGATTGAAAAAATTTCAAGTCCTCCTCTTCTTTATAATGTTTGGCTGATACTTCATCATATGCAATATCAAGATTATCTACAATTCTTTCAGCTAACTGTTCAGGTGTTAAATTCAAACACTGAAAAATATTAATAAGTGAGAAACTGCAATATTACAAATTATATTGCTATGTGCTTACATTATCAGTTGATCCATTATTATTTTCATATTTTGACTGAATGGATATATGAAATCTTGGTATAAAAGAACACTAAAAAATAATAAAAATACAAAATAAATACCTAAATACTAATCTGAAAGTTACACAACTTAATGAAAATTAAACTGTCAAACACTGCTAAATGCATACTATTAAAAGTAAACTTTTTGCTAACTAGTATAAGGCTAGTATTTACTGTATAAGTTGTGTGAGTTTATTTACATTAACAAAAATGTTATATTTCAAAACAGATAAAAATAGATCTTTTACTTACTGTATAATCGGTGATAGTAAAGGGATAGTAATTCCAGGCTTTTTCAGTGACATAAAATATTTTTGGAATAATAGATTGGATCCAGTAAGGCAAACGACTACAATAACATATAACTTGTAAAATACAATCATTATTAAATTATATAATAAACATGCTTGGATAAATGAATGCGTTTTTCTGTATACTGGCCCTTCCCATGTTCAGAATCTTCTATTTCCTTATTCTCTACCACTTCTACACCCTCTCCATCGCCAGATTGCTCCAAACTATGTCTAGCTATCATATAAAGTTGCCCAACACGATACTAAAACATTTCCATCAAGTATATTACCAGTTTTATTTAGTAATATATTAAAATTTATGTGCGAATACTGTTACGGTCGTTAAGTAATTAGAAAATTAGAAAAAATCTAAATTTAGAAAAAAACATCGATTTTTACTTTAAATTTAGACCTACCTCTTCCACAGATATTGGCATGCATATTCTATATTCTTTAGTTAAAACCATTACAATTGAACAAGTAATAAAACGTCTAGATATTAAGTATACTGTAATTTGGTATAACGTTAAATCAGCGTTAAATATTTAAGATGAAAATTATAGGAAATTATAAACACTATTGATATTTTCAAACTTCGCAGAACTGACAATCAGCTGGACTGAGAATGTGAGAATTACCAATGGCAACATCGTGAAAAAATATTTCCCTAAATAAAAATACAATTTTAAATTTTACACTTTTTACACAACATTCTTCGCTATTTTAAAATTAGTTTTGAATGAGATTTACTGCTATTTAAACAAAACAACTGTATTCTAATTAGCTAAAACTCTGGCTGGAACATTAAAATCAAATTCAAAAAGCATTATATTTTGATTTGGATAGATTTTACATTTTCGAGAACATAAAATCACTAGATAATTATTTGACAATTTTAACACATGACAGTTGTCACATTTGAGTATTATTTTGACGTTTCCTTTTAAAGTTTGTTTTTTCTGATGTGGCCAAAATTGATAATCATTCAGAAAAAATAATAGCAATTAATTTAAATCCGTTATGTCTTGATGTAAAAGTTTTCGGGGTATATGTATTTCCTGAATTTTAGTTGTAGATATAAGGGTAATAAAAAATGGCGTATCAAACGCTGAGAAACGAATATATGAATACACCCCCTATTACTAGGGCTTATACAACAGCCTGTGTAATAACAACTTTGGCTGTGGTAAGTTTATTAATTATAGCAAAAGCAGAAATGTATTAATTTAGTTGAAACTTCACTGAATGAAATATTAAAGATTGTAATGTTTTCGTAATATCTAAGCTATACATTATTACAAAAAAACTGTTGCTAATTCTATTGTAAGAAGCCAGTTAAGATTTGATTTATTACAAGAAATGTTTGTTTTAGCATTTGGAGTTGGCGTCACCATTTCAGCTTTATTTTAACCCCATATTAATACTTAAGGGTCAGATATGGAGATTAGTTACTACGTTTTTATTTTTTGGGACATTTGGATTTAATTTCTTTTTTACAATGATATTTACATACAAATATTGTAGAATGCTGGAGGAAGGTTCGTTTAGGAACAGATCGTCAGACTTCTTGTTGATGTTCTTATTTGGAGCTACGTTAATGATTGTATCCTTTTTGCACAAAATAATTTGGTAATTAAACAGAATAATTTATTAAATTACCAGTTAGTCTCTGTTTTACTGTGTAAATAAAATGGTTTGGCTAATTGACATTAATTAGTTATCATAAAAGAACATTTTCAGAGACTACACAATTAACTACATACCTACATTGTAGTTTTATAAGTCATTATCAACTTTAATATGTATATTGGTATTACGTGCATAATTTTAGATCATCTTATTAATGTCATAATAGCTTGGTATGATGATAAATTATGTATTGGTTAATGTAATTAAAATTATTAGAAAAAAGTATAATTTTCCTTAATTAAATGTTATAGATTTTTGCCTTTTTTGTAAACTTGTTATTTTTGGGTCAAGCTTTCACTATAATGTTGGTATATGTATGGTCCAGAAGGAACCTTTATGTGAGGATGAACTTCTTTGGGTTATTAAATTTTCAGGTAATGAGTCTGTAATAAAATGTATTGTCTGAGTGTAAAACAAATCTGTGGTCTCAAACCAGTTTGTCTCAAATATTTGCATGCTAGAAGTAGATTTTATTAATATTAACGGATGTAGCATATTATATAAACAAGTGTCAATGTGATAACACAATCACACTGAGAAGCATATTTCCATAATATATCACGTAGAGAGCATAGGGTCTCTAAGCCCCGCCCTTAAGCTTAGTTCAGCATTGAAGATGTCTCTAAAGCGTATAGATCCAAACCAAACCAAAAACCGTGTGAGCATTCTTGGTCACTTCTTGCAGTTTGCGTTGAATTAGCTACTTTGCGATCATTGCGAATTGTAAATAAGCATCAGGATGGCTGAGCAATGTATATTAGAGATTATGTTATAAAATATAAAACTTAAAGTAAAGTTCTGGATATGAATCACTATTCATATCCAGTGTGAGTCACTACTCATCTTCACAATAATCAATAGCTGGCTGTTCACCAAAAAAAAACAATGCTGTAGATAACGCTGCACCAGTGGCGGCTATAAGATCATTCATTTTAACAGAATTTATATTTATTTTCCTTTAACTAAACATACAAGTACCTTGTAAGAATCCAGTTAAATTTTGGCGCGTCCCAGGGTGCGTCTTAAAAGAAATCGACGTAATATTTTTAGATATTGACCTCCCTACAATAATGACCACCAGCCGCCACTGCACTGCACCTCTATTTTTCGGGTCTCCAGAATTTAGGGAAAACAGTTTTGATGCGCATCATGCTTTATTGAAAAAAAATATGGAAATAATACTAGGTTCAACACAACATAGAAAAATAATCAGATGCTAGAAATATTAACAAGGTTTAATATTTTTAGCATCTGTTATAAGGTTACATCATAATCTTTGTAATAAGGTTACATCATATTGACACAGAGCACCAGCAAATCATTTCTCACAAATACTAAAACTGTCAAAAAGCAAGTATATTAAAGTCCAAGCAAGAATCTCCTGAGGAACTTATGGTTCGCGCTCGCAAAAAAGCGACCAGGAAATAAGCGGCTAAAAAATGCTGCTTAAGCAAAAATATTTCCGAAAACACTCCAAATGCCAAAGGACATTAGAACGCTTTAAGCTAAACATTACAGTTTAACAGAAAATAGCAATATTTATTATTTTTTAAGTGTCTTATATTTTAAAGAAATTAATATAGTATACTTTATTTAATAAATAAATGTTATTGTTGTTATTTCAGTTGTTTTATCGTATGTCGTCATGTTTTTAACGTAGTGATAAAGAATAGATATTTATACTATATACTATTTTACATAAACGAATATTACTGTTTATATCATCGAGAGAGCATAAGGTCTCTAAGCTCCGCCCCAAGCTTAGTTCAGCAATGAAGATGTCTCTAACGCGATATAGAATGGGGGGGGGGGGTATTGGGAAATGCGCCAAAATCGGGTATAGTTCGTAGTGACATTACTGGCTGAAACTTTTGAATATTACTGTTTATGTTATCAATAACATGATGGAAATACGCCATCCGGGAAAAAACTTCGGAGATTCGTTGTGATCGTGTATGCTATTACACCTCTAATATATAGATTTAGCTAGTATAAGTCTAATTTTCGAAAATAATTACCTGGGTGGACACAGCTTTAAATTAATTATGTACAGGGTGTCCCACTAAGAATAGCTTTCGGCTGTATCTCGGAAAGTATTAGTCGTAGGGCCTACGGAAAAAAATATTTATAACTAAAGGGGCTATGAGAAATTGCTGGAAATTATTTTCAAGTTTGTACGGAAAATAATAAAATAGAATTTTTACAGAATTTTGCCTAAATAATGGGTACTATAAATAATAGCTTCATAATCTTTAGTAAATTTCGGATTTTTTTTGTTAAAACTATTTTCCATTATCTGCTAAAATTAAGTAGCGGGGGAAGGTTAGATCTGTTTTTATTTAAAGATTAATAACTCAGGACTGGATGATCAGAATCCAATAAACGAGGGCTCGTTTAAAAGATCGTTTCTTATTCTCTATGATACCATAAAAATAATAAGGTTTTGAACGTAGACGCTATGGGGCGCTTTCTTACAATTTAACAAACAGGCGTTTTTCCAAAAAAATTAAATACGATAGTATATGTAATTTTAACTGATAGTAAAGAGTAGTAAGTTAGTTAGAGTAGCTAAATTGTAAGAAAGCGCCCCCTAGCGTCTACGTTCGAAACCTTATTATTATTTTTATGGTATAATATAGAGTAAGAAACGCTCTTTGAAACGAGCCCTCGTTTATTGGATTCTGATTCTTTATTTTAACCTTTAAATAAAGACAGATCTAACCGAGGATCTAACCCTCCCCCACCACTGTATTTTACTAGATAGGGAAAAATAGTTTTAACAAAAAAGATTTGAAATTTACTAAAGATTATGAAGCTATTATTTATAGTACCCATTATATGTATATCTAGGCAAAATTCTGTAAACATTTTATTTTCTTATTTTACATAGCAGTTGCGCCCTCTAGCGGCCGTTTTACAAAGTTGAAAATAATTTTCAGTAATTTCTCATAGCCTCTTTAGTTATAAATCATTTTTTCCATAGGCCCTACGGCTAATACTTTCCAAGATACAGCCGAGAGCTATTCTTAGTGGGACACCCTGTACGTATACCGTATGTCCGAATAAAAACGGCATCAGCGATGGCTATGAAATGAAGATCGCGGTCATTTTATATGGGATCATCATTTCCAAGCCAACTGGACGCCGTTTTTTTCGATCATACGGTATTAATGGCAATTCCGCCACATATCCATTCATAGATGCACTAACTTGATTGTATCACAAGTAACTTGGTCTTAGAGTTTTAATCATGCATTAAATAATTTAATTATTTTTAGGCACCATATTTACCCTGGGTATTGGTTGCATTTTCCGTCTTACTAGGAAATGCTGTATATGTAGATTTGATGGGTATAGCTGTAGGTCATATTTATTATTTCCTGGAAGATGTGTTTCCTAAACAGAGAGGGGGATTTAAAATTCTCAAAACTCCTGCTATACTGTAAGTCATAATGACAACATTTATTTTTTTATTATCATTTGTACTTTGTTAGTAAATTTCTTTTTGATGAATGGCCTGAAAATCCAGCTTACCAAAGACTGCCTGAGGATAATCCTGGTGGATTTGATTGGGGCAATGAAGAAAACAGAAATCCACAACAAAATGAAGAGAATGGAGATAATCGTCAAAATGAAGAAATAAATAATCAGTGAAGAATTATATATGTTTCATATTGTATTATAAATTTTCTTGTTTTTGTAGTTATTAAGTAACACTTCTTATTAACAGGGGCCTTTTTTTTAATCTTTCAGTTATTTACCACCACATTAGTATGAGTTAATTATTAGAGCATAATATATTATATACTGAACTGACACTGTCATTCTCTATTTGGACAGACTATAGTCAAGTAAAACGCATGGAATGTTCAGCCATTGTTCAACGTCACTTACCAACCAGATGAAAGAGATTGGTAATGTCATTACGGCATTTCGTAAATCACTGCATATTCTTTTTAGTAATTGTCATTTGATTTGAGGTTATAATTTTATCGACCGACATCGATCAATGTTAAAATTAAAATTTGATTATTTCTGTAAAACAAAATTCAATTTTTTTATTGCAAAAATGCTTCAAAGATTTAACCAAAATGAACAAGGTGTAATATTTCTATGCATAATACAAATTAATAGCGTTTTTAACCCAGATATTACTGAAACTTTTTATTACTGAAAAATTTTTCCTTATAAAAATTTAGAGACGTTTTAGATAAGCTATTTGAAACACTTTTTTCTTATAAATATTTTTATTTTAGATAAAAGATTTAGAGATAGTAGGTGTATGTTTAAACGGACGACGGTAGGAACTAGGACTACTTTTACAACTTAACCAAATGTGGATATACAATTTGTTTTTACATTGAAATGACAACATAAAAGTAAACAAAATTGCGATAGACTTTTATTCTTTAGTGTGATAACTTAGGAAACAGGTTTTTGGATGAAGTGCCACATCGCACTTTTCACAACGGAATGCTGCCTGTCTGTGGCACACAGTAGAGGTGGGAATTCTAGTTCCTTGGGAGGAACTAGTTCCTTAGTTCTAGTTCCTCCAGAGGAATGGTTCTTTGAACTAGGTCCTTAGTTCACAATAGTTCCCGACTAACATTTGACATCCCCGTTGCTTGCTAATGGATTTCGTTTTCAGTCAGAACTATTCAAAATTATACAGATCATTATAATTTTTATAATGTACGAAATATAAGAAGACGTGTAATTTCATATGTTAAAAACATATAGGTAAGTTTTATAGCAGATAAAAAAATTAAAGAAACTCAAATCAGAGTTTAAAAACTATATCACAAATCAATTGGAGGAAATAATACGAAAAAATGTATTCTTCCTCACTTCAAGCTTTTTGTTTTTGTCTAAAAATTCAGAATATCTACTTCATTTTATAAGATATTTCTTAATTTTAGGGACCTAAAGTGAAACATTATTCCCATATACCTAATATTTAAAAAACAAAGTAAATATCAAAAACAGTATCCACCACAATTTTCTGTGGTAATTGCGCCGCGCCGGCTGTGGCAATAGACAAGGCCGAATCCATCGTCGTCGCCTTGTATTATATTTCGGATCTGCCGACTGAATATATTCCCGTGAACTAGTCTTTTAATAGTTCCTCTATGTCCGGATCCGATAACGTACGGCTGGCACTCCCCACTTCTGCTGGCCCGATCCGTTTGTACGTAAACCGTAAACTAGTCTTTTATTTAGTTTAGTTCCTCTAGGTCCGGATCCGATAACGTACGGCTGGTACTCCCCACTTCTGCTGGCCCGATCCGTTTGTACGTAAACCGTAAACTAGTCTTTTATTTAGTTTAGTTCCTCTAGGTCCGGATCCGATAACGTACGGCTGGTACTCCCCACTCCTGCCTACCACCGGGCTACGCGCGCTAGCCGATCCGTCGCCGTGGCATATTCTATATCGGTCACAGTCTCGATCCCGGAACAGGTCCTGAGGAACTAGTTCTTTGAGAAACCAGGAACTAGTTCCTTTCATTCCGGGGTCGGAATAGTTCATTGGAACTAGTTCGTTCACGAACTACACACCTCTAGCACCCGGCACACCTGGTCTGCTTCTCTTGATAAATGACCAGATGGTAAGCCTGTCGTATATTGATTCTAGATGGTGGTTCTTGCTTTTCTTCGATGGACCACGTTTTGTTGTTTTCTTAAAAGTTTCCAGCAATGCAGCAGCAATACATCTTCGAAAAACCAAATGATCCATATTCCCGCCGTTGCGTATCTTGGTTGCATAATATTCTTTCCAGTCTGAAAAGTCAGGTTTTATATCTTCTTTTTTCCAAGAATATAAAGGTGTTTTCCTCTTCTTGTTTGGCAATGCCTGTTGCTGATTGGCAGGTAAATATCCCATATAACACAACACAATCCTATAGATATCTTGAGGATATCCACCAAGGATATAGTAAATATCTTAGGGATATCCAAAAACTAGAGGAGGATATTTATGAGATATCCAGATGGGACAAAAAAAAGTCATCTTCAAGACATCCCTAGGCAAGCTGTCGTGATCCTGGATTGGACCACCGTCGTCACCAATCTTGTAGTCGCTGCCACCAAATGTTGTAGTTCTCTATTTGACTCGTATCACCACTTGTTGGGAATGTTATTCTTTATTTTTTTTTATAATTAAATTCTTACTAAGTTGTTATTACTTTTTATTTTTAAACTTTTAATACAAAATTCATTGGATATTTTTATTAACAGCTTTTTTTCAGAACAGCGCTTTTCAACAAATATTCACCTATAATTTTGTCACAAATTTTTCATTGTGAGACCGTGGTGAGACCCTGAGTCGTTCGTCGTTTTTCGACATTAGTTGAGGTTAGGATAGAATTTCTGCTAGAACTATGAGTATAAGAAAAAAACTAAGTCAAACTCAACCAGTTTTGGTAGTTTCAGTCATTTTTAAGCCCATTCAATATCGACAAACGACCGAATTCACCTCGAATTTCACTAAATCAAAGAACTGAATAATACACGATGCAAAAACAAACAACTGTCGAGATGGATTGTGGGAAATTTTTTGCGCGGGCGTTTTAAATTCTCTGTATTACTGGGAGTGGCCAAGCTCATAAATATCCAGATTATCCAGAAGATACCAACAGGATATTTTGTTGCCTTGACGTAATATATATCTATCTGTATGGTTTATTGCATTTTATGTAATATAAAAAGTAGTACATTATTTATTTGTAATAAATATCTAGACGATATTGTAATAGTAGACGCCACGAATGTTTGGGAGCGATTCATCGGTCGCTACCATGTGAACTAATTTGTTCAAGGTCACATAAAACTTAATTCCAGTGTGCTGGTGTTTCAAGTCATATAATAATCAATATATAATCTGTCGTTTATGTTTTTTTTGTGCATGAAATTTTAAATGTATTATTATTGATGAATATTACAACAATATTTATTAGTAACAAATTACTTAAAAAAGGATTCCAGCAAACTATCAAAGTCTTGTCAAAACATATATTTGGTTATAAATATATACTGGAATGCCCCATTGGTCGCACTGCAAGAACACCAATGGACTGACACACAAAAATGAATCAATCAATGAAACGCGATATAGTATCGTCTTTGTCATTCACGCTAACATTTTAGAATAAGTAGGAGGAGTGCCGGCAGATGATTAGACCGGGCCTTTAAAAACCTACGTCGGCGGTAAAAATTTACGTTTTTAATGTAAAAATGATAGCGCGCGTGTCGATTCTAACTTCATCAAGCGACGAATCACTCCCAAACATTCGTGGCGTTCACTATAGGATATTTTATTATCATGAGCATGTTTGGATATCTCAGCTGGATGTACATTAGATATACGACAGATATATCCATAGGATGTTCTATTCTGAGACATCTACAGGATTTAAGGATGTCTGGAGGATATCCTATAGATGTCTTTATAAGATGATCTTATAATGGGACATTCCGACATTTTATGAATATCCTGCGGATATTGTGTGTTATATGGGATATTGCCAAGGGAAGTTCATCCTCGGAATCATAGTGATTATCCTCAAACACTCCTGTAGGATTGCTAAGAGAGTCAGCATCTTCAGTCATTTTTAAACGTTTGACAGATGTTGATGGAATATCATCTCTGTTTTTATCACCTTCACATTCCCCGCCATCAGGGGACTGACGATCAAAAATTACTTCAGCATCAGCCATTAGCTGGCTCCCAGGATGGTTATCTAAGCTAACGGTATTTTCGTCGTCAGAATCCTCATCGGTGTTCCACCCATCTGGCGGAAAAAAGAGCAATTCCGTCAGGTATTTCTGTCTCATCACTCAAATTTTGATCTCTTCTATCTCATGCAGTTTTAGCAGCTTCTTCCACTTCCTGCAAACAAAAGAGCGGGTTTTGAGAAAATCTATTTTTTATTTTTTTCTTCGTATAAATTGCATTAACCCTTAAATTTAAGTTTAGAGAAAAATATTAAAAAATATATATAAGAGATATTTACAGAAAGTCCTACATACCGATTTTGTTCAAAATCGGCCGAACGGTATAGGAGAAAAGTTGTGTGAGGAACACACACACATACATATAGACACATACATTATGTACATACACGCACATACATACACGCACCCACACCATCCACCACTTTGAAGTTATGTTACCAATGAGAAAATAAAATTATTGGGTTAAGTTATCCTAAATAAAAAACTATACTTCCAAAGTAATGTAAAATATATGTATGTACAATAATTCATTATTATATATTTCTAAAATTCTTACCTCCAATTATCCATGTTTTTTACTCTTGGAAATCACTAAATTTCACAAATTATTTCAGGCGCTCTAAACACTCTCTAATTCCCACTTATTGGAAATCTACTGAAGAAACATCAACAGGTTATTGTCTTGGTGGCGCCATCTACCAAAGTTTATTTGAATCTTTATTTTACAAAAGTTTGTAAAGTGTATGTTTAAACGGACGGTAGGCTTATCTGGGTTGTTCAACAGTCCAAAGGATTGGAATTAAAGTAATTGTAACTGATGAAGGGTTTAAAAAAATGAATGCGGAAAAAAAACGGAACTCGTTCAATCAGTAATATAGGAAAGTACTTAAACTTTTCTAAACAATATGAACTGATCTCAGACACACTAAAACTCATATTTGACAAATAGTGATGACGTAACGGTGAACGATTGCTGAACAATCTTTACTCTTTTTTATAGTCACAAAAAACGGTTTGAAAAATAAAACAAAAAGATTCATTCAATAACAACTATTTATTTGAAACTAGTCGGCACTCACAGTTGCAAAGAAACAAGTGGGACAAAGTTATTGTTCATAACTAAAGACAAAAAGAATTAAAACTAAATGATTATTACAAACCTAAATATTAGGCATTAACAATTCGGTACCTGACAAATTTTAAGTTTTCAAATACTTTGGGGTAACTTTAGTGCTATGGCTGGCATAATACAAAATTAACTTATACAGAGTGATAATTCAAAGCTGTATAAAATAAAACGATATTGGATATCGCAGATAAATTTACTTATTTTTACAAAATGTTTCAAAATTCAAGTAAAAAAAAGTTTTCCGCAAACATTTTTAAATTTTCACTTTGTATATTATTAAAATAGCTACACAATATAACTAAAATGACTACAATTAACATTTGAACAGCCTTCTAAAATCATAAGTAGCCCAAAGAATCACATATTTGCTTATTTGTTAGAGGAAATATGTATTTCAGGTACAATTAAACTTTTTCTAAAAATGAAGAACCAATCTATTTAGTTTTTTAGTTAACTATTGAATCTCTTTATTAGTTCCAAAAATTAGATTTTTGAAACTTAAAAACTTAAATTGGGTTTTCACCTTGTTTGATCGACTTTGGAAGTAAAAAAAATATAAAGGGAAAATTTGACCCTAATTACCTTTAGATCCAATAAAACATAAATGTTTAAAAAAATGATGAAACAAAAAAAAATGATTTTAAATGACAACGAATACTATAAATAGCAAAATAATGTTCAATGAAGAATGAGTATGCGATGAAAAGAGGTTCAGGTTTCGCCTATCAGTTGGATTACATTGCAACTGTTGCCAAAATCACTGTGATATCATCCGGTTTACCACCTGAAAAAAAATACAATAAATAGTAAAACTTTTACACAAAAAAACATTGATTTAAGTTCTGCATATCTAACAGCGCTTTCAGAGGGAGCGGAGCGTCCGCACGGACCGTCCGCGAGTTCTATGAGTTTAAATGAACAATTTCACAGGAGTCGTGTATGCTCCGTTCGGATGATTTCGTCTGACGGCTATCTTGAAAAAAACAAGCAGCACAAAAACAGCGCGGACGCTCCGCTCCATCTGAAAGCGCTGTTATAATAAATCATATTTTTTTTCAAAACCTGTGGGCAATGGTAGCTCATTTAAAAAAATCATAGATAATACAGGATGATTCAAATATATTTATAAAAATAGAAAATGCCATTATATGAATTGAATGACATATCATATGTCGACTTCTGACATTTTCGCTAGACAAATAGTATTTTAAATATCAATCTAGAATGCCATATGGCTGTTTTAAACCGCTAATGTTTGATCAAGGAGCCTTCAGTTCCGTGGACTCCTCTTCCAGTTCCAGCTGTTCCAAAACACTGCAACACAAATTGGAAGACAATGGTCACGAGTGCAATAATAATTATTGTGTGTGTGTGTGTGTGTGTATGCGTGTGTGTGTGTATTTAAGGAAAACAGATTGGGAACAGCTAAATAAAAATAACTGGCCGATATGCTAGGCGACACATTGTACTATGATGGTTTTCGTCCCTCTAAATTTAATCTACTACCTATGTTGCCATATTATTAAGATATATATTATACCGGGTGCGTCTCAAAAGCACCCCTATAACTATTTATTTTTTATTTTTTTAGATAAAAAAATGAGATCTGGTATGCATATAATATAAATTAGGATTTATTGACGTATTCAATTCTTTTCGGCCACTTCCTGTTTCACCCGAAATGAGTACAACTTTTGATTTTTAAATGGCACCTTGGGTATTTTTTTACTTTATTCGATAGAAAACACAATCTGAATATGGCATATCATATGTCAACTTTTGACATTTTCGCTTAAAACAAAATTGTATTTTAAATTTCAACCTAGAGTGCCATGGCTAGTTAAAAACACTCATTTTCTTGGCAGAAATCGAGTGAAATAATGGAACAACTTCTCGCTAGTAAGTGACTATATAATATACATATGTGTAGTAAACCGATCATTTATGAAATTCACTTAAATTAACTAATTATATATTTTTTCTTGCATTTTTGCTTTTATTTATTACTTTGAATTTAGACACGTCAATTTGACTTATCTGCTTCAATAGCGTATCGGATGTTTGTGTTAATAAATAATTATTAAAACGTATCTATTTTTATTATAATAATATGTTTTTATAACAATTTTAATAACTACCAACATTTATTCACAACGTAAAATAAAAAAAAATATTGAGTCTACCCCACGTCTACCCTACATCATAGTTTTACATTTTTTAAATAAAATTAGAACGGCACTGATAAACCGGAAATTAAGTCGGCCATATTTGAGTTCCATCGCGGTGGACCTAAGATTTTTGATATGCTCCTTCCTTAGTCTTCTTATTCAAAGGAATAATGTAACAAAATACCGAGAATACCATTTAAAAATCAAAAGTTGTAGCCATTTTCGGTGAAACAGGAAGTGAACGAAAACAATTCTACCCCGAGACGGTTTCGAACTCGGACTTCTCACTTCATTGGCGGAACCTTTTCACGCTGTGCTATGGAGACTTGCTCAATTTATATTCCTGAGAGCATAGCAAAAGATATATTAAAGAGTCAGCTTTCTTAAAATTATCTCTCGAAAACGTAGGTTACTATTAAGACACATCCTGGATTTATGACCTAAAGAGAAAAAAAAAACAAAAAATAACTTTTGGATTGATTTGATATTAAAGTTCTTCTTACAGAGTCTTTCTTAATGTAAAAAATTTAGGTAAAGAGAATTTTTAAGACCTGTAATCTAAGTATATAATTTTTTCAGAAAAATACACTTTGAACAACCGGCAATTGTAACAATGTAAACAATCCCAAGCATTACTTTTTAACTAAATAACAGTCATATTCTTTTAAAATCTGTACAAAAAACATGATTTAAGTTTCAATATCATAATTGCTATGTTGGCAATTTTTAATTACTGATACCGGATATTATATGCAAAATTTTTGTTGTATGTTTGGCTTGGTTTGGTTTAAAGTATCAAAATTATGACAAAAATCTCATTACTTCGGTGAATCGACATTAAAATATCCGGAGTAAAATTATAATACATTGTAATTTAGCCATTAATAAAGGCCCACCTTCAAACAATTTTATTTGATCAAAATACATCCTTTAATAAACCGTAAAGTTAGTGCCAATTAACGGTTTATTTTAATTGATTATTAGTAACTCACGTCCAGTATAACCATTAAATATCTATAATAATCTTAGACGCATATATACCGCTTCCTTTAAATAGACTATGTGTTATATTTTCGATAAATCGACACAAGAAGGTTTAAATAAATAATCTTGACACGGTTAACACAAAATTGGCCATTCCATTTATCAGAATCTACTACGAAAATATTTACACACTTGACCGTGTAAATAACCCAGGAACAGTTGATGATGGATTTTTACCGACCAAAAGATAGATTAACATCATCCGCTTTAAAATAATTGTTTCATCTGATTTAATGTTCAAAGATTGAAATTAATAAATTGCTTTAGGCTAATTCCGCATGGTACAGACACAACAATAAAAATTTTACTTAATTAAACATAATATCGCATAATAAATATTGATATCGCTTTTTTGTTATGAAAATTTAGGTATACAGGTCAAAGTTAGTTAAACTGTTGAATATTCAAAACAATAAGATTACAAGAGCAGATATAATATATACAAAGTTTACATTTAGGTATTACGCGTATCCCTCCATGTCTTTAGTGACACTACATTTATCTCGAAGAATTTTGATACTACAATAAAAAAGTGGTAAGCCAGAGATGGGGAAATGACCATAACTTTTGATTTTTAAATGACACTTTCGGTGTTTTTTTTTACTTTATTCGATAGAAAATAACACTTTGATTAGAATGACATATCATATGTCAACTTTTGACATTTTCGCATATGGTTTAAGCTTGATTTTCATGCATCCGTTGTCCGACGATACGTTGCTACGATATTAATTTTATTAGTAGAATTTAAAGACTTTGATTGGTTAGAAAATAACGCAGTTTTTAAATTTATTGCATTTTCATGCCTCCGTTTATCGGATATACGTTGATGTCATTTTATATTTTCGTTTCCATAACTATTTTGCTATTTTACTTATATTTTTATTAAGTTTAGATTAAATTTGTCCAAAAAGTGTCAAAACGTCCGTTGTCGTATGAACGGGTCCGTTGACGGGCTGAAGTAAAATATTTACGGATGAAAAGTGGCGCGAAAACGCTATGACCAATCAGATCACCGTCGGACCAACGTATCAACGTATAACGGATGCATGAAAATCAAGCTTTATTTGAAATTATAACTTGCGGTTCGTAACGAAAATTTGATTCGAAATACCAAGTGTGTGGTATCAAATTATTCGTAAAAAAATGCTTCTTCCAAATATCCTCATGAGCCACCCTCGCTCCATTTCAAAAAAATTGAGATATGATTAAAAATACAATTTGAGCATTTTCTAACTGGCCAGGACAAGATACTAAAAACATTAGACGATTAAATTTATTTTTCCAAGACTCCTTGATTAAGAATTAGTGTTTTTAACATAGCCATGGCACTCTAGATTGGATTTTAAAATACGATTTTTTACCGAAAATTGGCATATGATATGTCGTTCTATTCAGAATGTCATTTTCTATCCAATAAAGTAAAAAAATACCGATGGTCCCATTTAAAAATCAAAAGTTGTAGTCATTTCCGGTGAAACAGGAAGTGACCAAAAACAATTGAATACGTCAATCAATCCTAATTTATGTCATATACTAACATATCAAATCTCGTTTTTTTTTCTGAAAAAATAAAAAAGTCATAGGGGTGAGCCACTTTTGAGACGCACCCGGTATATAGGACTATTAATTCAGTCATTGGGGCTTTTTGCTTGGAAAAAAGTCCGGAAGTTTTGCAACTTTGCAGGTTTATAGGTTTTGAGGTCCCTAAGTTAAAATCCATAAAATGCACATTTTCAGACTTGCCGCCGGCGCCGCCGTCTTGCCAAGATGGCGCCCGAAATCGGTATTTTGTGAATATCTCGAAAACTATGCGTTTTTCGCGAAAATTTGAGGAGAACAAAATGAGAGAGAATAAAATTTCTTATAAAAAAGCTCTTATAAAAATGTTCGCTAAAGTCAACCGTTTAGGCACAAAATCCCTGGAAATTTTACAATTTTGCGTAAAATATGATATATTATGTATAGTCGATTTTCCGAAATCAAATGTCGATTAGGGTTCACTAAAACTAGTTTTAGTTTAGTTTCTTCAATTTTGTAATATTTAATAACAGTGGCGTATCATTAATTCGCTCATTAATTTATGAATAATTAATTTTAATTATTGAAAATGTGTACCTACTTCTTTCCAAACCACCCAAGGGGTAAAGTACATGGCGCGTTTATTTTAACGTGGTCTCCCCGGAGGCCTACTCTACTAGGTAAATTAAAAACTTTAACTTATCTGCACAAGCCCGACGGATCTGGCTCATTGATGTCAAAGTCGATCGTGTCTGCTGTGCTGGGCCCATCAGTGTGGTCTCTCAATACGTCCAACTCTTCATCTTCAGCCGCCAGAGGGATATCTACAGGCAAGTCCAACTCCTCTTCAGATTTGTCGAGTGACAATTCAGTGACGTTGTCACAGGATTTCCCATTGCAGTATGCACAAATCATTGAACATTTTAATCCTGATTTTCTACATCCGCAGGCTTTACCATAGTTGTTGGTTTTGCATTTACAGGATAAAAATGCCAATAGGGATTTTGGAGCTGGATCTTTCAACGTTGTGACTGGAGTAATGCCTGTTTTTGTTTTCTTCCAACCCCATTCTTCAGCATCTTTGGTACAACCAGACCAATGCTGAACCTGGTGGTAATCGTAATGCAAATTCGCAATGAATGCTGTCCAGCACGACAATTAATTATTCATAAATTAATGAGCCAATTAATGATACGCCACTGTTTCATGACAAAATTGAAGAAACTGAACTAAAACTATTTTTTGTAAATCCTTATCGACATTTGATTTCGGAAAATCGACTATACATAATATATCATACTTAAAGCAAAATTCTAAAATTTTCAGGGATTTTGTGCCTAAACGGTTGACTCTGGCAAAAATTTTCGTATAACCTTTTTTATAGGAAATTTTATTCTCTTTAATTTTGCTTAATCTTGGCAAGATGGCGGCGCCAGCGGCGGCTTTCATATGTTTTATGATCACAAGGAATCTATTTATTTAAATATAAGAGAGTCTTACCTATTGTATTGATACCGTTAGCAAATGCTCGTTCGGCGAAAGGAGAAATGAAAGTCTCGTCGAAGGATAAACTCCTGGCCATCCAGGCTATCGAGTTGGCAACCATTTGGAGTCTACCAGCACATCTTTCTCCTTGACACTATGATAACAAAAAGATATAGGATATTAAGTACAGTTAATGGGACATAACACTAACCAAAGTTCTTTCTAACAGAATTCCAAAATAAAACACTTTTTCAGTGGGTTCATAGACTCAGAAAATGTTCACTAGATTGAGAAAATATCTCATAGCAGCTATTAAAACAACTGAAATTTGTTTTTCAACATATGACATACTTTATTATTATGATTATTGTTATATAGTTCCCAGTAATAATTAGTAAGCAGAAAGAAAAAAATCGTGGGTGTTTGGGAAGGCTCGAAAGGAAACAATGTTTTTGTGACGTTTCGCGACTTTATTATCGCTTCTTCAGGCCCCAAAACATATATTAATGCATATTATACATACAAACATTCATGGCCATTCCAACCGCCAACACTAAACCACATACGGAAGAACAGAAACTTAAAGGTTATTTTTTCCGACATACACCGATGCTCGGTTTGTGTCGTACTCATATGGATTAATATATGTTTTGGTGCCTGAAGAAGCGACAATAAAGTCGCGAAACGTCACAAAAACATTGTTTCCTTTCGAGCCTTCCCAAACACCCACGATTTTTTTCTTTCTGCATACTTTATTATATTATATGAATTAAAATAACAGAAAACTGCTATATTATAATGTTACACATCCCTCTCTGGTCAAAATATAGTAACACAATAATAAAACTTAGACCAAAATTGTTGGTTACAAGCTTTGAACCATTCATTTCTTTCTGGGTTTTCTTTTATAAATATTAAGAAATATAGATCGTCTTATCAAAAATAACACCAATTATAAAATAATTTATCAAAATTTCATCAAATTATAAAATAAAGTTCTCAGTTAATGCAACACTGTGACGACTGCGCTACTGACCACTGACGCCATGGCTTATTGAAATTCTACTACAAAGACGTCTGGTCTTCAATACCTAGGTGTGTTCTGTATTGAATATGGTAATGTGATGACCCGATGAACAATCAAGCAATTTTTCTAGCATATATTCATCAAATGTGTTATAAATTAAACTAAAATATTTTTGTTTGATTTTTGAAAAATTTGGACTAAGGAACTTCATTTTCCATTAAATGCCTCACATACATAAGTTGCCTTTAAGTTTTTACAATCGCTTGTACTGGACCAACCAACCCAACCCAACTCAAGAAGCTGTTGAAGACTCAAAACCATGTTTCTAGGAGTTGTATGTAGCTTCAGAGTGGAAAAAATGTTTTCAGATGTTCCAAATGGTCTAAATGTGACCTTCTGGGCAAATATTTCAAAAAGGAAAAAACCACGTCGCTTCGAACTTGTTCGTTTCTGTTTCACTTTTTGTAAAAACTTAAAAGACAACCTACGTATACGCAGGTGCGTATGTAGCTATAGTATAAATTTAAATGGAAATAAAGTCTTTGGCGTCTACTAATAGTTACCAACGTTTACAGCGAGCTACAGGAGAGATATTGGGGGAAAATTTTTCTAAAATTAAATTTATCCGTTCATTAGGTGTTTAACTGCAGTTAAATTTATTTTTATTATAAATTTCAATTTAAGTATTTAAAGGATAAAATTAAAGGTATATTTAAAATGAAAAAAACGCGTGCATCAAAAATATATATGTATATATATATACATATATCTAAAGAATAAACAGCAATTCAAATTACATATGTATATTATTCTACAGGAGTTTAAACAAACGCCTAAACATAATGACGTCACTGTAAGGCAAGTTTACAGGATAAGCAACAGAGGGGACACTAAAGAAGCACATTCAATTCAAATCTCATATATATGTTTACTATTCGATTTATATTATCTGTATAGCCGATTAGCCGCTGTCAATCGAAATATTGGATGAAGAAATTGTACTAAACTACAGTATAACGTGTATGTAATAGAAATATATTCTTACCTTTAAAAGCTCGTTTAAAATAATATTCTGAGGTAAATTATCGAAAACCCCATCGGTAGCTACTAGTATAACATCCCCGTCTTCTACCGGGATGTTATCTGTGGAAGCAGAGTCGGGACGATCGCTTAGCACGTCGGCTCTGTACCCTGGAGGCGGCAGTGATAGCTGTAAACAAAAAAACACATCGGTAATTCACATTTTTATACTTAATCAATATCATACATGCGAGGACAATACAAATAGAGAGCTTATAAAAAGATGGACTTCTTTGTTCCTTGTATGTGTATCCAGTGTTTCAAAAAACATGTACTATCTCCTGTGGTGAGATTCCTCAGGTAAAAATAAGATTTATCTTTTATATCAACATAGGTCCTATTCTGCTTTGTTTCGTAGCTACAGGAGATTAAAGTCTTAATTTTTGTTCGATTTATTATAATTTTATTTCAAGTACTTTGAGCCAACTGAATGAATTATTGAGGGTAAAATGTACTACATAAAAGTGCGACATATTTAAATCACTAATCACTTTTTATTCGCTAAAAAAGTGTCGATAGCAATGACTAAAGAATTCAAGGACAAATAACACCCGAGAGCAAATTGTGGCGATGTCACCAAACAGTGCCGTGGCATATATTTTTCTTAACCTAGCTGTTTGAAGAGATATTTCTATTTTTTGATAAATGTTTTGACTACGCCTATGATGTATACGTTGGTATCATACGAATTAATTACGAAAAAACGTATTAAAATGTTAACAACAGGTACAAAACTAGTATCGACGTATAGCACACATCAAGTACATATATAATATCAGAAAAATAATTATCGAATTAAAACTAAGAATAAGCTAAAAAGGTGGAGCGGACTGTTTATTTACCTATGAAAACGTAACTCCTGGCTCTTTCTTATCGCTGCTGCTTTTACACTTGAAAGCCGAACAACTAATCACCATTGAAATAAAGTTTATACAAAGTTCACTACACACAAATTATTAAAAATCGGTAAAATTGTCGCTGGTGACCAGACGGTGACTCATTGTTTGCCATCAAAAGAATGGTGTCTAAGGTCACAAATTCTGCTGCAGCCCGTAAATGGGCGTTACATCTCCTTATATTCTTTAGTCATTGGTCGATAGATTCAACAAGGACGTGCATGTGCATATAGGTTATTACTGGAATATTTTTCTAAAAAAATATACACTACAGCCTTTTTCTTATTAGCACAGTAGTAGACAGTTTAATGCCGATTAAAAGTTGTTTCTTGAAATTTTGTATAAGTACTCAGTGATTCCTCATCAAAAAATGTTATTTTTACGTGAGGAATCTTCCTACTAGAGATGGTACATGTTTTTTGAAACACACTTGACACTCGAAATTGTATGCAAGAGCAGAGTTACATTGTGTTTGTTTTATATTGATCTGAAGAATTCCCTATAATCTTCTAATTAATTTTAACTAATTTATAAAAGCATCAAAAAGTATAATCTGGAATCTAGAAAATATGCAATAGCCCATGATTATCTACATTTTTTTCAACTTGAGATGGACAACCATATGATCAAAAAACCGACGTCAAGAGATGATTTGGGAATAAAAATCGCTGTCATTTAGTATAGGGAAATTAAAATAACTTTGGGTGCACATCATAATACGACCACAAGCAAACTCCATAAGACGATGCATGGTGTCATTGATGACATGCAACGAAAGTTATACAGGCCCGGCAATGGATCTCTAGGCATAGGAATTACATGCATTGGAATGAAACGCCTATAAAAAGTCTATGCTTAAACAGAGATGGACAACAACTTCCCCGTTTCCACTTCCACTACGACTGTCTACTTAGACAAACTCCAATAAGATAACAAATTTTGGAAATTCCGCCACTCCATTGTTTCAGCAAAATTTCTCTAATGACATTTATCGACCATCTAGATGTCATCATAGATTTTTGAGAAACTCTGTCAAAAATATATTATGCCTATTTTAGAATATTATTATCTATACCCTTACGAATTAATTCATGAATTAATTGCTTAAGACCCAGCTATTGTTGCAGAAATTGCCATTCTCTTGGTAATAGCAACCCTCTCATTTTTAAGAGAATCTATTAAGTGCAGCCGACAATTCATAATTGTTCAGAAATATTTCCTTCTAATATACGGGTATATGTAATAAGTGACATGGCAAAACACCGAGTTCAATTCAATTCCGTTCACGTCATAAAATAATAATATACAACTATATAGGTTTTATTGACATAACTCTTTTATACATTAGTTTTAATAGGTAGTAATTCTTATACAATTTTTGCGTCCAGGGAAACTGACTTTTATGGTTTTATAACTAGAGTAACAGTTCTTTAAGCCTTAAGCTTAATTTGTGCCTACTGTCCTTACAGTAATTTAGATCCATATCCAATAAATATTAATTATGGAAACAAATAAATGCTTTTATTTGTAATTTGAATCCAACAAAATCATGTTTGTATTGTCATTAAATGATTTTTAATCATCAATCATCGTTTCAGTTTTAATCATCTGCTGATGATGTTAACATGGTTAGTGAAACGCGTGTCCAGCGTCTAAAAGTCTTTTTCGCATGCGCAAGAGCGATATAATGTATTTTAAACTATGTTTTTCTTAAAAAAAATCGGGGTATTTCGTCACTGAAAGAAAAATCAAAAAAACACTACAGCGTAGAATCGAAACAAACCTATCGGTAACTTTTTTCTTGTAAAACAATTTTTAACAATAATTAAGAAAAAGGCATACTGAAAAGAAATAATGGAACTCTATATGTAAATGCTTACTTGAAAAGGTGTATTAAAATAGTGTTGTTGTTCTTCGGATCTTCTAACCACGCGGCCTCTTCTAACGACCATGAAGCCACTATCGCCTATATTCGCCGTGTAAAGAGTGCTATTTTCTCGATTTAAAAGCACCACACAAGCCGTACTACTACCTGCAAATGAAAGAAAGCAATAAAAATAACCATTTATTGAATTACAAATTAATTTAATTAATATTTTTTTGTACCGCATTGTCAAATCTAAACTCTTTGAAAGAAGATACTCAATCTAAAACATGAGCGTTCTTCACCCACACATCTTCACATGAATTGACATAAATAAAACATAAACAATATCTATATTATATCATAGTTACAAATCGTTATTTCATTTCAAACCAACGAAAAATAGACAAAAATATTCTTTTAGAAATATTTTTCTTATGTGAATTTCACCTACTTTCAGAAAAAGTATCGAAAAATTAGGTATCGATATCGATATCTGAAAATTGGTATTGACCTATGCCTTATTAATAAATAAAATTAATATCAATCTCCAAAAAATAATAAAAACAATAATTTTCATCAATATGAAATCTAGTATAAAAACAAAATTTGGTATTCCGTCATAAACATGCGCAATTGTATAGTTTCTAAATAAATTGTATCAGCATCAACTACACTAAAAGTCACGTTATAGACAAATGATAATCACTCTTTAGCATCAATGAATATGTTCTTGTAAAACAAGAATTTCTTTAAATATGATAGATTAAAGGAGGCACGAAAATCTCAATTTTGAAAATAGTTTTTGAAATGCTTTCGCTTTTTAAGTTCCAAACATGACCGGTTTTCGTTTCAACATCATCTTTCGATTTCTAATGAAAGTACTGATTCACGAAACTGATGATCAACAGGCGTAGATATTAAAGATCAAACATGAACTAATTTATAAATTCATGTTGAAACGTGTTACTCAAAGAGGGAGGAATGCGAAAAACAGGGCAAGAAGATACCGTGCTACGCAATCAATTCTTAATTTATTTGCTACAATTCTTTTAATATGTTATGTTATCTTGAAACAGACATAAAATACCAGAGATAGTTTTACCCAACTAAATAACAAGTATTAATTTAAAATCCATTTAAACTAATTCCAAATCATCGCAGCAAATGCATTTCGAATATATTTTTAATCGACACGTAAAGCGTTTCTTAATTCAACCGTTAATGTAAAAATATAATAATTGTTAACATAACTCAATGAAACTTTATTTGTTAGATTATATAGATTGTCGTCATTTTGCAATCCTTATTATACTAAGTCTATATGTAACATTAATTGCACAATTTGCACGTACATTTATATATAGATATGACAACATTTTTCATCGAATTTTAACTTATTGCTACCGTTATGATCCATTGCGTAAAGCTTAAAAATCCAGTAAATAAGATCCAAAAAAAACTATGAAAATTATTTTGTTACAGTGAAAGTCGCTAATCCAATAAATGTTAACAATCACTAATGCTCACTATCACGCATTGGACCAGTGAACGTCGTATTTTAAGGAAATTTGTCGACTTTTACTAATAACTGTTAGCAGTCGCTAGTGACAGTAACATTTTCTAAAAGTTGTCAGTAAAAGTGACTCTGTTGTACCATAGGGAACGCATTGGTGGAAGTAGAACACATAATATTTATTAATGATACAAGTTCGATACGAACATCATAATGAAACGCTAAGCCACGAGGCGTTAGCCGAGTGTAGTTACACAAGTTTCATTAAAAAGTTCGTATCGAACATGTATCATTCAAAATTTAATCTACGACGCGACACGAGGGACGACGAAAGAGATTTAATTTAATTTAAAATATCAGAGATATCCTCATAAAAATTAAAATTCAAAATTATCAGGTGCCCATATTAGTCGACGCCGTGGTAACCGTGCTTGTTGATTGTTTCCATTTTGACTTTGACAACTCAATTATTGATGTTCAATTTCGTGTTAAACGTTCAATTTTAGCAAAAAGCAAAAAATAATATTAATATGGGTGATTCTGATTCTGAAAGTGTCCCTTCGGATATTGAAGGGATTGCGCAAAACGTTGTCGATTCCCTACTTCCCGAAAAATCAAGACAAACGTACGAGCAAGCCTATGTAAAACTTGAAGATTGGTGTAAAGGGAAAGGAATCAAGAATAGTAGTAACGAAAAGGTTCTCCTGGCATATTTTGAACATCTTTCAAAACATAGGAAGGCTTCATCACTTTGGGTATATTATTCCATGCTACGTTCAGTTATATCAGTGAAGAAAAACACAGATATTCTGCAAAATATTAAAGATGAAGGACAATGCATTCATGTCATTCCATTTACGAAAACAAAGATATCACGAGATTTTTCTTATAACGAAAGGGAACGTTGAAGGAATAAATATGGTGGAAATGGTTCGAAGATATATAGCTATGCGGCCAAGCAACATAGAGCATACTAGATTTTTTGTGGGTACAGAAATGGAAAATGTATTAAGCAACCCGTTGGCATTAATACTTTAGGGAAAATGCCGTATAAAATAGCATTGTCTTCCAAATCCACAACAATACACTGGACATTGTTTCCGTAGATCGTCTGCGTCGTTGCTTGCATATTCAGGAGTGGATTTATTAACTGTTAAAAGACATGGTGGTTGGCGCTCTAACACAGTGGCAGATAGCTATATAGAAAATTCCAAAGAAAATAAGAAAAAAGTGTCATGTGTAATATTTTGGGTAACATTTCTGGTCATGATGGGTCTTCAACAAGTTCAAGCACTCAGGAAATAAATATAATAAAATTACTGTAAATCATTATAAATAATGAATAATGAACAAATCATTTAAACAAAAGCAGACCACAGATTACACAAATTGTTGGTTAGCAGTAGTAGTATTTTGGTTTAATAGCCACAGCTGCCAGGGCAATTCGTCCAGATGATAAAATTAACTATCTATCGTTGAGAGGGCTTATGTGATGACAGACGAGGATCGCCACAGAAGTGAGTCTGGGAAATCCCATACCCCGACTGTTGAACAAAATATTACCAGATCCTCTGAAAAATGTCAAATGCAATATTTATAAAAAGCAGTCTACTAAAGCAGAAAATGTATGGCATTCAAAATGAATATGGTTTAACGTTCCAATTTCTCCACAATCGCTAAAAGAATCTGCATTTACACCTAACGATGTAAATGGGACGGAATTAGACAATGTCTACATCTTAACCTAAAGAAGGATGTAATCTTTTTCTGGGAAAATTTTTAATTGTCTAAACCATATGCTTTTGTAAAGGGAAGTAACAATTCCTTTTGAGACATATCTCATTCCATCTGCCTTTCCATAGTAACCAAAACATTTTCTTAATGATTGAAAAAAAATCAGTAAACCAAGATTTAAATTCTGTGTCTCGACAACAGATAACATACAAATGTCTCGAACATGTTCAAAATTTCTTCTCTTAAATAAATTTAAAGGGGCGTTAACATTATTACTTTGAGAAACACCTCACTGTAGTATTGAGTAATAAAAAGGATTGGAAGAAAGAAACGCTTACTCAGCATATAAAAGACCATACCATCACGTGGTATACTGATGCTTCCAAAACCAAAGCAGGGACAGGGATAGGAGTATTTGGGCCGAAAACTAAATACTCCGAACCAATGGGCACCTATCCCTGTATCCTTCAGGCAGAAATTTGCGCTATCGAAAGATGCGTACAATTTATCTTAGATAGGAACTATTGAAAACGGGAAATTGCCATCCTATCCGATAGTCAAGCAGCACTTAACGCGATCAACTCAGTAACCATCAATTCGAAGTTGGTCAAAGAATGCCTAGAGAAGCTCAACAAATTAGGTAAAGAAAATGAAGTCCTCCTACTCTGGGTGCCTGCTCACCAAGGAAATGAAAAAGCAAATGATCTAGCTAGAAAAGGAGCGAACACTCCACTAACTGGACCAGAACCCTTCTGTTTTCCAAACGGGAACCAACTGAAACCGGAACTGAAGAATCTGGAAGACTCCATCCGTAACTTGGAATGGGTGTCCTCCAACGGTCTAAGACACTCGAAAAAGTTCCTCAGAACTTATGACCGAGAAAAATCAAAGGTTTTCCTTGATTTAAGTAAAAACAATCGTCGGATTGTCACGGGGTTTCTAACAGGCCACTGTCTCCTCAACGAACACCTCAGTAGGCTGAAACTGAGAAACAACGGCGAATGCAGATTTTGTGGGGAAAATGGGGAAACACCAGAACACCTTATCACTGAGTGCGCCGAGACGACGACCATTCGTGCCATGAACCCTGATACGTCTGATGTCGAGGATGGAGAGCTGGCCTCTGTGGAGCCGTCTCAGATACTGGCTTTTGTTAAAGCCCTGAGACTGTATGATGAGTTATAACTCGTTATAACTCAAGAAAGGGGAACACACAATAGATCTATAAGGTCGCGGTGATTAACTCCCCTCCTAAACATTCTACATTCTACATTCTAACATTATTAGGCATTTGCATAAAAGTGTGTATTTTCGGTGGTATTCCACTACATATAAAAATTAAAAAAAACTCTTGTTCTAAATGGATATATTAATATTTGGATATGAACAACATTATAAAATTATAAAGCTAGAATAGTATACGGTTTTATATTAACTTTAATTTTTTCTAAGTTTATAAAAACATTCATAAAAATTATATATCCTTCAATCCTTCAATTTAATAGCTGTTAGCACAGAATATATAGCTATGCAATACAATTGCGTAGCTAGATATTCTGTGCTGTTAGTAAGAAGTTTCACTTCAAATACGCGCACATAGTGCATACACAATTGTTTTTATTCTACACAAATTTTCCTACACACGTAAAACACTGTATGCCGCTTTTTATTTTGTCTCTCTGTCTGTCAACCGGACATTTATATTTATATTAAAATACAGACCACGTAGATAAAGTGTCCGGGAGGGTATAGTTCTTAAGTACCTTTAATTATTATGTTGTGTTAAGCAAATGGCATAAACCATCATTTAAATAATCGACAATAAAAATGATAGATAAAAATGACCATTAAATATTGTTGGAGCATAACAATCACCAGCTCAAACTGCTCAAACCGCATTTTACAAGAATATGTAACC